GATGGGAGTGTCAGAGACAGTGCGATTGGCACAGGACAGAGCGGAGTTTAGGGCTGTTGTACATAGGGTCGCTATGAGTCGCAGGCGACTCGATGACACATAACAACAACAACAGTTACAAGAGACTGCTCTCAAAGGCCCTAAACTGAACCTTTCCTTGAGTCAGAAGTTCAGAGAGAAACAGGTGGGGTAACTGCCCCACCAATTTCTAAAGCATTATCTTTGGATCAAGAACCCATCAGTGTCACAAAAGCAGCAGGCTCTCTCACATCCTACACAAGCACAAAGCAAGATGTCACCCCCAAAAGGTGACACAGTGTCAATGGATTTCCTGAAGCCAAGAAGTCTGATGGAACTTTCTTAAAAGAACAATGATTGAATATTTTCAATGGGTGAAAAACAAACTTGAAGAATTACAGGACACTGCAAGCAAAAACCAAAAGGAGCTTAAAAAAAAAACAATCCAGAACAAGGCAGAAAAAGTAAACGAGGCATTAGTGGTATGATCCAAAACATGAGGTCCAAGGTTTCAGATGCTATCAACATGATGGAGGAACACATGAGCAGAGTTGAAGAGATGGAACACAGAGTCAGTGAAATAGAAGATAGAATTGTCACCACTGATCTGCAGAATGAAAGCAGAATGAAAAAGGAAGGAAAAAGAAGAAAACCTAAGAATAATGTGGGACACCATCAAGATAAATAATATGTGCATCTTCGTAATCCCAGAACAGGAAGAAGCAAGTAAAGGCACCAAAAAAGTTGTGGATGAATTAGTAGAGGAAAAATTCCCAGGAATAATAAAGAATGAGAGAATATATATTCAAGAGCTGATAGAAAAAAAACCACAAAGGAATATCATAGTCAAATTTGCAAGAAGCAAAGATAGAGAATTCTGAAAGCAGAGAGGGAGAAACAAATAAGGGAGAGCAAATAAGACTAAATGCCAATTTCTCAACAGAAACCATGCGAGCAAGAAGACAGTGGAAGGACATATATCAAACACTCAAAGAATACAACTGTCAACCAAGAATACTGTGCCCAGCAAAATTGTCCATCAAATATGAAGGGTCCATTTGCTGTGTGTTACAATTCTGACTGGGTGCAGAGGCCAAGGCCTGCTCAAGGGTGTGACTTTAAAGTCTCCTTGATGAGGTGGAGGGCTTGTGGGCTGGGCCAGCCTGAGGCCTGAGGCCTTTGGAGTCCCTCAGCTCTGGAAGTTGGCTGGCTGGCTGACATCATCACAATGGCTGTCTCGCCTTGGTGGCAGTCAGGCAAGGGAAGTTTCTGGGATCCATTTGTTGGATGTTACTGTTCTGGCTGGTGGCAGAGGCTGAGGCCTGCTTGAGGGTGTGACTTTAAAATCATCTTGATGCAGTGGAGGGCGTGTGGGCTGAGCCAGCCTGATGCCTGAGGCCTTTGGAGTCTCCCTCTACTCTGGAAGTTGGCTGGCTGATGTCATCACGATGGCTGTCTCACCTTGTTGGTGGCAGTCAGACAAGGGAAATTTCTTGAGTCTAATGTTCCTTTACCATAAATAAATTTCCCATCTATATTTTTTTTTAAAAAAAGGCAGAAAGGGCATGTGTCAGGGATGTATCTTTTCTCCATACTAATTCCATCTGTATGCTGAGCAAATAATTTGTGAAACTGGCCCCTATGAAGAGGAATGTGGCATCATGGTTGGGGAAAGATTTATCTAAAATGTTTATCTAAAAACTTGCAGAAACACAACCTTGTTTGTTGAAAGTGAGGAAGACTTGGAACACAAGAATGTTGACTGTGGAACTGAACAAGCTTATATGCAGAACAGATCATCTGGGAGGCTGGGCTCAATGAGGAGGAATGTAGCATAAGGATTAGAGGAAGACTCATTAACAACCCAAATTATGCAGATGACACAACCTTGCTTGCTGTAACTGAGGCAGACCTGAGGCATTTGCTGCAGAAGCTCAAAGACTGCAGTCTTCTATATGGATTGAAGCTCAATGTCAAGAAGACAAAGATTCTCATCACTGGACCAGTCGGCAGCACCATGATAGATGGCGAAGAGACTGAGATTGTTAACAGCTTGAGATTGCTTGACTCTACAGTCAATACTCTTGGTACCAGCAGTCAGAAAATTAAAAAAAAAAAAAGAATTGCATTGGGAAAATCTGTCATCAGAGAGTACAGAGTACTGAAGGGCAATAATGTCATTCTGGAGACTAAAGTGTGCCTGATCCAGGCCATCATCTTTACAATTGCTTTCTTTTTTTTTTTT